TTCAGATAATAACCCAGAACTAGTTTATCCTCTTTCTGTCTGATGTGTCCCTTCTGACGTTACTGTCTCAAAATATACAACTGCAATTTCTCCAGTATTCCAAGAAATGATATCATGACTCTAATCTTTCACTTCATGTCTATATTTGTACCCATCTCTTAAATATCTTCCTATTCATCATTCCTATCACCTGTCCCCACCATTATAACAGCAGCATTTTTATTTTATTGTTTTCTGATCTCTCCACTTTTATTCTCGCTTCTTTTAATGTATCATTTACAAACCTGAGGCCTCTGAACTCATGGACTTACCTATCCCTATTAGGACTGAGGTATCCTTATTATATAGAACTAAACAAAAAATGTTGATGTAGGCTTCTGAACACCAAACTAGCACAAAGTATCCTTACGGCTACTGAACAATTCTAGTTTGTTCATGAAAATGCCTAGATCCCAACTTGTTTTGTGGCTGACTTAAATCCCAGTATATATTAACTGAGGGCAGTCCAGCATGCTGACCGAACATTTTTGTAGAAATGCCATTTGTTTGAGGCAGCATTATACACACACACACACACACACACACACACACACACACACACACACATATATATATATATATATGTGTGTGTGTGTGTGTGTGTGTGTGTATATGTATGGTGCTAACCCATAAAATCTATGCTGCTATGAGAATTAATAGAGCTAACTGGTGGAGGTGTTACAGAAGTCACTAAGCTATTTTATGCCCTTAACTCTTTCAGTGTTTAATTTAGGTCCTACCATGTCCTATATCTGCCTCTTGGCTTTGGCTCTTTTGGATACATGGATATATGCTATTTTCTCCCTCAGTTCACCGCTACTTCCTCAAATGCTCTCCCTGACACTCACACCTTCTTCAACATTCACAAATAACCACAATCAGAAATTAACAGAGAAGCTTTGGTTTTGGAAACATGGTATCAGAAGGCTTTTTGATGTCCACCAAGAAGCCATGCTATTTCTGGAACTATTTGCTTTCTACATTCTGCCTTGCTCTTCTGCATTCTGCTCCACATTGCAGACACTCCAGAATGTGCCTTATTTCTCCTTTCCCTCTTATTTCTCCACTGACTCTATCTATCCCGGGTATGCCTTCCACAGGGTGACCTTGCCTACTGAAATCTGCTACACCCACACTCTCTGTCCAGTCTAGATTTGATCATTGTTTCCTGCTATTGTTCACCTCTGTGTTGACATACTAATATCTGGTTGGCCTTTGTGTATATAATTCCATGCATTAAATCCCTGACTTTGAATAAATGCAGAAAGGTTTCTGCTCAACAGAACTCAAATGTAAAACTATCATCTCTGCCCACCACAAAGGCATTTGTTGGCTCCCTTCCTCCTAGTTGCTGAGTTAATGCTTATGTGCCCATGTCATATTCTGCTATAGGTTGGTGGTGTGGTTTCTTATGTACTATACCCACGGGGAGGTTTCAGAATGGGAACAACAACCTATCTGGAGATAACAGTATCTCCAGTGCTCTATTTATTGCCTACTGTACACACATGATTCTCAAAAATTTAAAATATACAATTCATTCAGTCCTTTAAAAGATTCATGATGTATGCTAAAAATATTTAAGGACTTAGGACTAGACCCCATGTAGAATAGCTCAAAACTTAAGGGAAAAGTAAGCATTAGCATTTCCTTTCTAGTTCCAGAGGAAAAAGAAGTGATATTAAGGCAGAAGTCAGATGCTCTCTCTCTTTATGGCGTGCTGTTTCTTCAGTCTCTTGGATCACCACCCAGCCATTGGTAAGGACACCTCCTATTTCACTTCAGCACATTAAGCAGTAACTGTGAGAAGTACTCTAACTAGTGCTTTGGAACTTTAAGGCATTTTCATTTGCCTCCTGGTAACTGAACAGGTAAAAAAGAAAAAAAAAGAAAAGAAAAAAGAAATTAAGTGTTTTCAGATTCTAAGAGACACTTAGAATTTGATGAGCAAAATGTAGCAGCCATTTCTGAGTCTAGATTCCTCCAGAAAAAAAATCTAAACCTCCCTATGAACTGGAATATTGTAACTCAGTACAATTTAAAGCGATGCATCATTTCTTTGATGCAAAATAACTTTCAAAATAAAAATAGATGAATACAATTTAAAGATTGGGAAACAGACCCACTGAAAATAAGTTTCATGTATTCTTTTGAGTCAGAATTACTGACCAGAGTGCCTGAAAGTCTGGTCACTAAGCTGGCCATCTGACAGTGGTCACTCTCTTTTTAACTAATCCACAGGCACAGCACACAGATATTTTCCTAATTGTACTGTGTTAGTGTGAACATTTCAAACTAACACGTTACGAAACTCTTAACTATTAAATTACAACAACATCAAATAATCATTGCACCCTTTAATACAGCAATGTTTTGACCACAAGAAAATCAGAAAACAGACTACTAATTGTCCTCCAAAGATTCTGGCAGGATGTGCAAGAATAATTCATTTTCTTAACATAACAGCATATTCACATTACAAATTTGCTTGGAGTTCACTTCCTGGTATGGTGTGAATCATGGTAGCTGCTGACTTGGCAAGGTATGGCTCTTGTGTCCTGGGAAATACCGCAGGTGCCAATTGTAACAAAGTCACCATTGTCTTCCTTTAATGAAGCTGGTAGAAACAGCTAAGTGTCCACAAGTGAATCCCAGGGTGCCTGGCGTCCAGAAGGTCAATTACTGCAAGGTGGTAGACAACTGGGATTGCATTACCCCTAACTGACATGCTTTTGCATTTCTTTTCAATAACGTACTGTTAGTCTATTAAAATGAGAGGAAATTATTACAGCAAGCACTGAATCAGACACTCTGACACATGAGAGATCTGAACTCTCAGGATTTATGCAAAGTCCACAAAGCAATAGAGACCCTGAGTCATGCAGAACATCTTACATATATTCTCCTCCAAATTCCAGATTTGATTTACTTGAGAGAAAATTTACCTGAAAAGCTGTGTTTTATTTTGTTTTTATTTGTTTGTTTTGCTTTTTTGTTGCTTGTTTTCTTCATTTTGTTTCTTTGTTAGTCTGCTAAGAGGAGTGGAAGTCTCTTATGTTTGTTAGAGCCCAGGCAAGATTTTTGTGATCAGCAGTGTGGATACTGGACCAACACACACTTTAATTTTTCTAGATTTTTTTTTAACTGCAAATATGATCTTATGGGTACTCTCTAGATTTTCATATTTGCATCCTGCTGTTATTCTTTGAAGTCATTTACTTCCAACATGAAAATTCTATTATTTTTAAAATTATTAATGTGAAAATGAATCTGTCATTTTCTGTGTCAAAGAGCAGAACTAGTCGAAAAATATAGAAAATACCTCAAATAATAAATAGTGCAACCCCTGCATTCAGGAGGCAGAGGCAGGAGGATTGTCATAAATTCCAAGCCAGCCTGGTCTACACAGCAGGTTCCAGGCCAACCTGATCTACACAACAAGCCAAAACCACAAAACTAACAGTAAAATAGTATGTTATTACATGTATTTCAAATGTCTGCTAAAGTGTCATACGTTTTGCTCAACTTTACAAAATAATTTATTACTTTGTTTTAAAGTCCTAATTTTTAAGTGAGTGTTGTTTTATTCCTAATTGGGGTAAATCTAATTACTTTAAAAATAATAAGCCTGAGCTGATTTTTTTCAAAGCTTTATAAACATTCTCTTTATTTTAATCTATGATGAAATAATTCACATTATTTTACAAAACTCAAGCTCTTAGCATTTTTCAGGATTCATTTTCTTGTGACCCAGATTACAAAAGTTGGCCCAAAAGGATAAAAATTTTTAGGGTTTTAATTTTCCTTTCTAGAATTCTAAAAATATAGCTGTATAGCTTATGTGTCAGACATTCAGATAAATTGAGGTGACTGATCCTTCAAAAACCAGCTTTTAAAAAGCTTACCTCTCTTTCTGAAGTCTTATAGAGACTATCACATCTCCATTTTCCTCTCATTTCCCCCCCCCCCGAAGACTTCCATGTACTACATAGAAAACCTGTATTAGCTTACCTTTTCCGATGCTTTTTAAATGAAAACAATTTTCCTTTTCTTAATTATTAAAATCTGTGTCTCTGAAGATTTTTCTCAGGCTGGCCTCGGCAGAAAGTTCTGTGAATAGAGCTGTTACATCAATTCCCTGAGGAATAGCTTAATCACTTGTAAACTCTGGAAACCATTAGTTTATCATCCTTTGAAGTCAACAGGCAACTAACCGGGAGGCTGAGAGCAAAACACTTGTTACTCTTTCGTGTAATGACCTTAATTTCTTTCTTTTCTCTCTTTTTTTTTCTTTTGTTATTTTTCGTTTTAGGAAACGTGGTGGGATATACTTTAACATTCAAAAGATTAAAAGTTGTGTCGTGCTTCATAAACGACCTCTGCAATTCACTTTATAAAGTGCTCAAAGAAATATTGAAGGCTCCGAAGATAATGATTTATGAGCTTTTGGAAATCATGGGAGCTCAAAGATAAAGTTGTGTGTGAGTGGCAGCACATTGTAAAAGAGGACAGTCCGTAGCTTTCTGCTTGCCTCCCTTCGGCAGGGATGCTGGTCTCAGCTTCTTTCCCCCTCCTCCAGGGATTTGCCGGGGTGCTGAGCTTGCTGCAGGCACACCTTCCTTGAGGCCTCTGGGACTCCTCCCCACCCATTTTCTCAGGGTCTTTTTTCCTCCCAGTTCATTGTCAGGTGTATTTTCCTTCTCCCGCCGAACATGGATCACAGAAAGTTCTGAATGTGGGTCGTTACTGTGAGGTTGAAACACTACATATCTGAATATTACCCCCCAAAAAATGAGAAAGGAAAAAAAGAACATGAGCGGAGGATGCTAACATCTGGGCAAGATGGTGATCTCCCTGGTTCGTGGCAGGCGCAGGTGAGAGCAAAACACATCTGGGAAGGCTCCTTGTTTAAAGCACAACAGATGAGCCTTCTGAAAGTCTCCTTAAGACCGACCCGGTACCTGAGATCGGCGGCTACCGTCTGACCTTGGAGGTCTCCGGTTCTGTAACCTCGCTGCGGGAGTGGTTGACGGGTTTCAGGGAAAAGAAACCAAGAAGGACCGAGTCTCAAGGAGTCGGGAGCCTCCCTCACAGCTAGCCAACTGATGAGGGCCTACACCAGATTCGGGACCGCAAACTTCCAGACCGTTTTGAATATTTCAAAGTGTTATCAGCACATTCCCGGTACTGCCTCCCTCCACCGCACATCGTGACTGCGAGCCACCTTCTCTTTGTCAACCTCCAACCCTCTTAGCATCCTGCTTTGGGGACCCATTTTGCATTCGACAATACCCGTATTCCTCCCCCGGACATAGATGTCAAGAAATAAGGAGTTGAGACATGACATATTAATGTTTTTATCTGGGGACTCTCTGCTCCCACGGGATGGGAGGGAACCCAGGAGCAGAGGGCGGCGGAAAGCAAGCGAGAAGGAATCATTCCGAAGCTCCTGCGGAAATTCATATTCCGTGCGTGTTCCTGCTTCGCCTGGAATAAATCCTGCAGGCCTCCCCACGCAAAGCCGGCGGCGTTTATTTATTTGCATGTCATGCCTATAATGCGGTAGAAAGCAAGACGGATCTTCCAGGAGGGGAGGCGACGACGCTCACCTTTCAGGCTCTCTGCCCTAAATAAAAAAGAATTGACCGGCGGGGCGCCTAAGAATTTATCTTGAGTTTGCCGTCATTACCTCTATTATATGGCCCCGGCAATAAATAAGTCGGGTAGTTACTACCCAACAATAAAACTGTAGTGTGTGGGACACCTCACTATTACTTTCTTAATAATCTACCTCTCCTTTCCCTTTAAATCTTCCGGTCTTGTCTTCTCACCCTCTTACAAGGATCTATCTTCAGCCCTTGAGGTACCAGCTCTCTCGGATCATTTTTATTTTTATTTTTATTTTTTCCTGAACACAATAATTTTTCCTAGCCCTGCTGTTTTTTTCCTATTCCTAGCTTGCCTAATCTGCTTCAAGACAAAGGGTTGGCCGGCCCCGGATCAAATGTCTCTTTTCTTTTCCCCTCTCTTCTTTTAACTGCGTTCTGCGTCCCCAGTAATGACCGGGGCGCCCCTGCCCGCCCGCCCCCGGTGGCAGCTACCCGTGGGGGCTCTCAAGGGGAGGAAGGGTGGCACTCAAGTTCGGAGCGAGGGGACGGACGAGTCGCAGCTAAGAGGACCTGCGCCCCACGCTCTCTCACAGCCTCGGGAGCCAGGAGTGAACGCAGAGCCAGGGAAGGGCAAGTTTGCCCAGAGTAGTTAGTCGCGCGTGGCCTGCGTGGCCACTCTTGGGGATCCCGTCCTTCTCTCACTGCGCGGCCGGCGCTGCACGCGCGCACCGTGCGCCACGCGTGGACGCGAGCGCTGACAGCCTGGACGGTCCTGGGAAATCGGACCTCGCCACACTTCTCCCCGGCGGCCGCGGCGCCCCAACTCCTGGACCCCAAAGCCGGGATGAGACGGGGGCGGGAGGCGGAGGAGGGGCGTTCCCTGGGCGGCCGGCTGCGTTCGCACCTGAGCTCAGCCGTGGCCCCTGCGGGCTCGCCCGCTCCAGCCCCAGCCGCCACCCGCTGCCCTTGCGGGGCGCTGACCAGTCCCCGCCCGAGCCGCCCAGACCCCCAGGGGCCCTCCTCCCCGCGCGGCCAGGGACTGCGCCTCCGACCTGCCGCGCTTTCCCGAAGCACCGCCTTACTTGTCCTGGCAGCAACCAAAGCGGCGCACGCCCCTCCGAGAGGACTGCGAGCGCCCCTTGGAGCTGGGGTGGCCTGCAAGAAGGGTGCCTGAGGTTGGAGGGGTAGGGAAGAAAGCAGACGGACCTGAGCCGCCTCCCCTTTTGTCTCTACACTATAGGTCCCTGGACAGCAGGTTCACACAGCCCCACCAAGCACGGTTTCTGTTTTGTGACTTAGACCACAGATAAAACCCGAACCGTAAGAGTCGGGGGAGATCACTGAAAGGATGGTGAACTTCTCACCTTTCTTTGATTCAAGATGCTATCCATCCGTGTGTGTCTGTGTGTGTGTGTGTGTGTGTGTGTGTGTGTGTGTGTGTGTGTCCTTGTTAATTGAGTTTTGCTGGGGTGATATTTTTTTTTTTTTTTTTTTTTTTTTTTTAGGATTCGAAAATCGTCTGGGAAAATGTTCACGTTTGGGACAGAAAACATTTTTTATTTCTATCCCTGACATTTAAAAGAGCAGAATTAATTTGTTCTGTCTACATTAGCATTGAGAGAAAGTTTCTGAAATCCACCGGGGGAAAGGTGGGGGGGTGGGGGGAGGGCGGGGAGGGAAGGAGAGAAAGCAAAAAAAAAAAGAAAAAAGAAAAGAAAGAAAGAAAGCTCAGAAAGGAAAAAATAAAAGCTAGGCTTGTTTTTGTGTGTCTCTCTGCCTCATATCAGATCTGTAATCAATCACTGAAATAGGAAGCAGCAAAATTGTAAAGATTCGATAGATTAAAATGCAAATGGAAGGTAGAAAAAGAAACATTAACGCGGCCACCAAAGATTTAATAACCGTAAATCAAGTTTTTTTTTTCCTGTTGCAGCTGCAGTTTGTGTGTTTATGTTTTAATCATGCTCACTCCATAAATAAATAATTTCTAAAACGAGACTAATTTTTCATTATTTTAACCGTGGGCTATAACACTAAATGCTAAAAATAGAAAATGTACATAATGCCATATCCCCAACCCAGAAAAAGAAACCCTTGGAACAGTTGTTTAAAAACCTTGAGGTTTCACTTGTGTGTTTTGAAAATCGAAGTATTATGCCAAAAATTCTCTCTCCACTTACAAAGCCCAAAGTTTACTTTCCCTTTAATATTTTATGTTAACAATCTACAATTTATTCTAAAGATATGTGTAGCTCCATATCCATTTCAGCTTGAGCATTTCCAAGTGAGGAATGTGCCAGAACATTTGAATAACACAAATCCCATTTCAGAGTGCCTTGACAATTTCTGAGTAATATTTTATGAAAGATTCCACCTTCTTCTGAAAAAAAAAATAACCAATGGGCAACACAATTAAAACTTTTCAGCTTTATATTTAATGCCATTTTTCCATGAAGGGGTATATTATCTCTTTGTTTTATGATCATTCAATGTAAGCCTGTATGTCAAAGTTGTCAGATAGTCAAGCAAACTTTAAGTATTCTTTTGGTTAAATACGCTCATAGTTTTTTATTTAGAACATTAACTTCTTAATTTAGAAATGTTTTACCACTTTAAAAAAAGAAAACAATGGGGTTTATTCTTTCTGTTCTTTTCCACTTTTCCCCTTCCTTCCTTTTTTGTGATTTTATTAACATAATAGAGAGCACTCCTGTGCAGCATAGAAACTTTTCCTTGAAATGCCTAAAATAAGCTTTTTCCTTCATTCCATCCCCAGATGAACTAGAGTTGTCTCAGTCCCTCCTTTTCCCACACATTACAGGAATAGCCAAACCTAGGACACACATTTCCTTCCTCAAACCTTTAAGTTAGATGTGAGCTGAGTTCGTGTCCACCTTCCCACTCCAGCCAAACAATTATGTTTTCACTCTGACAGCCCAATAATGCATTTAGTTTGAAATTACACTTGGACCTTTTCTCCTTTGTATTTTTTCATTTACTCCAGTGCAACGAGACGACTTGATTTTCATGGGATTACATGAATTCCATTCAGTATTGGCGGGGCATTTCTACTCAACTCAATACCGCCTGAGTAGACAAATGAACTTTTTATTTGCTAAAGTTTGTAGGTGGTTTTGGAAACAGAGCATGCGACTGATTTGGTTACTGTTGAGAACCGAACAGGCACACAGGTCATTTATCTAAAGGGAACATATGTGGCTTCGTAAAAGGCAGAAGCAAGGGCGGAATCATGGGGAATTATTTCAGTTTATTGCTCTTATTAATTAAACCGGATGTGGTTTTATTCTGCACTTTTAATACCTACCTTGTTAGTCGCTCCCCGGGCTGCTTTGCTTCCCTTCGCTCCCAATGCTTCTCATTCAATAGGTCCCCGTTTGATAGGGTTGCCGTTGCTGTATTACACCTCTTAGTAGTTACAGTGGAAAATCTCACGGGTCTGAATGAAGATCGTGCCCCTCCCTCCCCGGGGAAAAACAAAACAAAACAGGGATGGAAGGGGAGAAGAAAAGGAAGAGACGCTTTTCTCACTCTCTTTCAGTATTTTGTTTCGTTGAAATGCAAGACAGGTACTTGATTTAGCATTTAAGCAAAAGGTTACGCAAACCGCGTTTTAGAAAGTGTCGGGATGTCCGACAGGGTCAGCCCCAGATCAGATCATTTTTCGAATGCAGACTTAAAGATAATGAGTACTTGTTGTATTAAAGGGGACAAACAGGACTTTGGCTTCCTCTGACCCCAGAATGCACGGCTTGGTTTCATTGATCATCTTCCTTTATGAGATAATGCAATTACAAACATCAATAAGGGGGCTGCAAGGGGAATCATTATGCTGTGACAGTGATAAATGACGGTGCAGAAATAGCATGCTTCCCCCCCTAACAATCCTGGAGCCCAGGGGCTCCGGGGGGCTGAACACAGTCGCCAAGGAAACAGATGACATCCCAAACGGCACCAAAGAAAAAAATAAAATGAACAGTCTTTCTTTGCCTTTCACTCTTTTCCGTCTTCCAAAGAGTTAGTTTTGGCTCAACAGCAGCTGCCGCACAGACATTTCGTTATTGCAGACATTAAAGACTGGAGCGTGCAGTAAGGAGACTCCGTCCCTTACCCACCCCCACCGGACGACACACTAAGCTCGCTGTTCACACTTTAGAACACCTGAAAATGCACGTCTCAAAATAGGATTTGGGTGGGCTGAGGGACCAGGGGGCCTGGATTTGCACAGCCATCGCGTTGTTTACCACTCATCCACTTACCCCAATTTTTTGTCCAGGGGAAACTAAGTCTCCAGGGCAAAGTGGGGCCTCCCGGGTCGGCCAGAAAAGGATCTTTGCTAGTGGCTGGCCTCCATCTAACTCTCCGCGGTGCGAGACGCAGTTCTGTGCCAGGAGGCAGCAGCAATGCGAGCAGGCGGTTGCTTTGGGGTGTTTGTTGCTGTGCTTGGTTTTCTTAGAGATGAAGTTATCAGTGGAGTCACTCTCCCTACGTGGGGGAATTAGGCTCTTTGAAACCCTAGGATATACACACCCGGCAGCAGTTTCTCTGGGCAGTCATCACCCACTCGAGTCCAGAAAAGTC